CCTTTTGTTTCCTGAACTGTCCTTTCTTTACAGATTGGGAGAATGTTTTGAAGGACACTAAGTATTTTTTATTCTGGTTTAGAAACTTGGTCTTCAAGTCCATGCATTAATAATAATTAAAAATAAAACTTGAAACCATCATGGTCCCTATCTTATTAATTTCAGAGACAAGTCAATTTTAACTGCAAGGTAGACAGGGAAAACAGTAAAGTCATCGACTTTGCTCATGTTTGTGGTGTGTGAATCTGTATAGACCTGTGACACAATATCTGGCCCCTTGGAACTATTGCCCCCATTGTATAATTAGATCAGACAGTTTCTTTTTTGGTGATTGGGATATTTATTAAGGACGCAGACTTAAAACACTTGGGCTGCACTGGGATAAACTATTATATCTGCTTCCCTTTTTTTTTTGTGGTTCAGCCAGACTTAAATATAGATTGTGATGAAGAAGCGATTTATTTTCATTGTTTTTTATTAATTAATTATTGATTCACATTTTTGTAATATTATAATACTTACCGGTATTTATAACAATGACTACTAATTCATATTACTCTTATAGATGTATTATTAATCAGTTCTACTCTTTTTGCATTTTTTTTTTCATATTTTTTTACAGCACTTTTTTTATATGTTAATGTTACAAAACATGCTAGGAAGACTTTCATGTTTGTTTCTTGATTTTTGGTACAATAATTTTCCTTTCAAAAAATTGTTTCTTTGATTAGTACTTTGGAGAAGAAGACAGGTTATTATACTTACAGGGTTGTATATGTAAGTTCCATAACTTCATTTACACTTGTGCTTAGACTTGTATTACTTCCCTTGCTCTAATACTCAGTGATTTTTTTAATAGGCAGTAAGGTGTTTGAATTGGGATGGCTACTGCACCTTTAAAAAAAATAAAAATATTTGGAACATCACTAAAAGTGATCTGGTCTTTTGACAAGAGCCTTAAACATTGCTGCTCATCACTAGTGAAACATAGTGAAAAGTAAAAATTGTAGAATGTCAATTAAACGTCTTCCATGGGAAGAATTTCTGGGTATTTTTTATTTTGATCATAGTAGGAAATGGTAAGGTGAAAATGAGATATGGCTGATCTTGTTCAACAGAAATAGTATTACTAGACAGGTCATGACATCAAACAGAGAAAACTCATGGTGACTCTAAACCATTGGAAACATAAGGGGTATGGAGACAAAGAGGACAAATGGTCACTTTGAAAGAAATACAAAAGAAATGCTTATTGTAGTTGTATAGTTTTGAGTGGATTGAATCAAAGAGGTTGAGATAATGTTAGCGTCCCAAATTAATTTAAGGTACATATCTTATATATGGCCACCTTCAGTTGAAAAGCATCTATGGATCAACCCATGAAAATGGGATGTATCCTGGGGATTAGCTAGCGTCGGAATGATGTCACCCACACAGCTAGCTAGGGTCGGAATGATGTCACCCACACAGCTAGCTAGGGTCGGAATGATGTCAGCCACACAGCTAGCTAGGGTTGGAGTGATGTCACCCACACAGCTCAGACATTTTTCTCGGCTCTCTGAGATGTCCTCTGGTTGATTTTAGTCGTCAGGCTTAACTCAAATGTTATTTCCATATTTCTGAGTTTTCTCTCCACGCAGCTGATCTATCCAAATGAACGGTGAGTGCAGATACAGTTTGGGGTCAGCAGCGCCACAGGCTCTGCCAGTGTGTGCTGCAAGCTGCCTAAGGGTCCCCAGCTCCTGATTTTCCCTCCTGAAGTCTTTCCCTTTGTTTGAATATATCAGCCAGTAACAGAGGTTTGAATTCAGAGTTTTCCTTCTCCAGCCTAGACTTACAGGCCCCTCTTGCATTACTGGTTTAGGCATTTATCAAACTCAAATAATAAGGCTTTGACTAGTCCCAAGATTAAGAATATTACAATAAGAGTAAACAGAGCCAGCCATTACTAAAGGTTAACTCTGACTCTCGCTATGCAACCATACACAACCATAATTACTTTTTAAAACTCATTCATGTGTAATACAATTGATGCACAATTGTGTTTTATTATTAGTAAGTGTATAATATGTTTTGGTAATGTGAATCTTGCAATAATTTAGACTTGCTTTTGAGTTCATGTTGAAAGCTTACAAGGGATGGTAAAAAAGAAAATTGGCTGCTTTAGCAATTTTTTGGTTATTTTAAAAAGCATTTATTTAATTTTGATAGTTTTTATACATTTTTGTAAATATTGCTAGGTGTAGGGACTATAAAATTCAATAAAACATTATTAAGATTTCTATGATATTGTGTCTTCCAATTTAGTTTAAAAAAAAAATTATCTGTAACTTAATGATATTATTTCATGGAGTCAGGTTTGATTATGGCTGCAATAGTAACTTCTTGTGCAGGTTTTCTTTGATTAGTTTCAAAAGATAATTTTAAAAAATAGCAGTACTATTTAGGTTTATGTTATCAATCCTGTTGAGAATGTCTTGTAATTATCTTCTGCTTTGCAGTAATGTCTGTAGTTTATACAATTTCAAACTGCATACATATGTCAGAAACTATGTTTAGCTTTTATCATATTTGCATAATGCAAACTCTCTTGCCTCAAAACTTGGCAATTAACTTTTTGTTATTGTTATAGATATTATTGATTTGGTGTGTCTCCCAGAAAAGAAGTCTTATAAAGTGTGTTAGTTGGCAGCACTCTATGGAAAAGTACTTCACAGTATTATATCATTAGAGCTTAGCATGTACCACTGCTCTAGCTTTAGACTCATTACTGGAAATGTTGGACCTAATGCCTAAAATGGTATAATTCTCAAAAATCATATTCAATTTAATTGTATGCTGGTGTAAGAACAATAGTCATATATGTGTTATTTATGTAGACAAGTGTATCATGGCACTGACCTATTCAGAAAATATAGTACTTAGGACTTATAAAACTTTAACATACATCTTATATTAAAAAAAAACAACAACTATTTGTTCATATAAGATTCTAGTTTTTCAGATTTTTTTCACGATTTGTTTTTCACTCTAAACTTTTTATTATAAAAAAAATGAAGGAAGATCTAAACCTAGGTACAAATATAAAGTGGAAAAGGGTTGTATGTTATCATTAGCAAATTTGGGAGGGGCTTTTACGACCTAGAAGTTTTAAATTATGACTTTTAAAATATTGACATACATCTTATATTTTTTTTAAAATTCTACTATTACAAAGTTTCTGTTTATAAATTTTGCTATTCTTTGTAATTCTAACCAAAATTAAGAAATAAGTTATTCCTTAATATTTGTAGTATTTAATTAGTACTTGAGGCGTTGTGGCTGAGTGGCAAATCGCTTGGCTTCTAAACCAGATGTAATGGGTTCAAATCCTGGTGAAGACTGGGATTTTTTTATTTTGGGATCTTTGGGTATTAGGGACATGTAAAGGTGGTTGGTCGTTGTGCTGGCCACATGACACCCTTGTTAACCATGGGCCACAGAAACTTTATCTTTATATCATCTGTCCTATAGATCACAATGGTCTGAAAGGAGAACTTTACTTTACTTTGATTAGTACTCTTGATCATTTCTCTATAAGATGATTACTTCAATCTAGATCTAACAATTAGATTATCTTAGAATTCATAAATAGAAATTAATTGCAAAGAATTCATTGCTTTTCTTTTTAATGTATGAAGTCAAAATCTAGTGAGTGTAAACATTTTGTTGTTCTAGAACTGAATCTCACAAGTTTTCTGCTGGGATTAATTTAATTTCAACAATTTTTAGCGACGAAAGTGTTTCCTCACTATCAATATAGATAGCATAATAAAATGAGCAAATAAAATTTGTCTCTTTGGCCAGTCTATATATTTCTTTGTCTGAAACTTTTTTTAAAAAAATCAGTTCATTCAACGTTGCCAACTTCAAAGTTTAAAAAAAATTCCTGTTGCCAACTTCAGAGTTTGTAAAAAATTCTGTTGCCAACTTCAGAGTTTGAAGAAAATTCCTCTTGCCAACTTCAGAGTTTGAAAAATTCTAGTTTCTAGTTGGGAAACTGACCCGTGTATTTAACAGTGAATTTTACAGTAAACAACAAGGGAATTAGCAGATACTAAAGAAGCAGCCAAATGTGCCATTTAATGTGCCAAAGAAATATAAGTTAGAGTGGCAGAAGCACAGCAGTTAACTTGTCAGTAATGACTGCAAATAATTGTTTTTAAGCCACTAACACTGATTTGAGAATTTGTTTCACAATGTTACATATTTCACTGTGAACATGTAAGAAGATGTTTCATTGGCTCCAGGTCAATAACATTTTTCATGTGTACAATTATGGTGCATCTACTTTCTCATAACAAGTATGTTTCAATTCATGTACAATATAATGTATTATTTATTGATAAATAATCTTTGCAGATATCATTTTATTTATTGAATGCATTCAGAGGAAATTGCAAAAGTGTTACCTTTGACCTTTTTTTTAAAATAATATGTTCTTGAAATAGAACTAGAAAGATATATATATATATATATATATATTAAAAGCAAGAACTACGGGACAGTTTTGGACTGGACTATCTCAGCTAGATAAACAGATTGAACTCTTACAAGTGAGTTTTCTCCCCTATCCGAAAAAAAAAAAAAATGCTTAGTCAAATAGTTGACAAGATGAAAACAGTTTTGAGATGGGATTTTGATCTGTGTGCTGATTCAATATTGGCTTTCATTCCTCACCTCCATCTTCTTGTTGGCTGTGTGGGTGGAGGTGAAGCACCTCATGAGGGTGTGCGTGGAGGCTGAAAAGGTCAGGGGGTTAAGGGACGTAAGACAACAGTTTCTTTCTTGGGCTTTAAGTAGTCTATGAAGTAGCCGAGGTCTCAGTTAAAAGGGTTGGCTGTATTTGGAGTGCTATGGTTTGATTCCAGATTTAGTAACTGGCGGGGGAGAGAACTTGTGTTTTGTTTGATTCACAGCATTGTGCGATCACTTCAGACCTGGAACTGACAATGATCTGTCTTTTTTTTTTTTTTTTTTAAACTTTTTTTTTTTTTTGCTGAGTAATAGTTTCTCTTGCATCAATTATTGACCTGGTTGAACTGTGACAAATCCAAACAATATGTTGCTCCTATTACATTAGAATGAAAAAACATAATATCTTTGTCTGAATAATTTTTTGGTAATATGTGTGGTATATATGTGTATGAATTTTTAAATACCGGTAATTTTTTAAAATTTTTATTTTGAATCATTGTACTTGGTTGACTGCTTTTATTTATGTAACAAATACTAAAAATATTCTCTTTTCAAGTCAGAACTTTATTTCAGTGCAAAAGATTTTCATAATCAAAGACGCTAAATTGCTTTTAAAATGATTTTTTGAGGAATGTAGCAAGTTTTTTTAAGGATGATGACCCACAAGGCAATTTAATCTTGAAATTTGTTTACTGCTATGCAAATTGATTATTTCCAAAAGAGCTCGAATGTGTTTCTCTTTACTTTGTGTCAATAATTTATTTTATTTATTGAGCATATTTTACAACCATGTTGAGCTCTTCGAATTGTATCATGGAAAATATTCTCAAAGCTTTGTTTGGAACTATACAGTGTCTGAAACTACATCTTTTTGGTGGCATTGTCATGGAAAGTACTGTTTCAAATATAATTTTGGGAAATAAAAAATGAATTGACATACTGTAATATGCAAATGCACAATTTTTTAACCTAACAATTCATTTGAAATTCAGTTTCTTTGATTTGGAGAACGTCATTCTTGGCACCTGAATGTTTTTTCAACATTTGTATTCATTCCCAGGTTATGGCTTTCTGTTACCGATACCTGACCAATGTGAAGGTCAAATGACCTGTACAAAAATTTTTTTTGATGGATGAAAAGTAAACTTTAGCAATAAAAGTTTTCTCACATGGGAAACTTTAAAAAAAAAAAATAATTAGCATATTTGTATATCTGAATTCCTCTCTCTCCACCAAAAGTGTTTTTAATGATCCTTAAAGCCGAAGTTCTAGTCTTTCATTTACTGCACACACATTGTCATAGTCCTTGGATATTTAGACATTCTATGAACAAGCATTACAAAAGAAATGTACTCATAAAATTGTCTTTCCCTGGGTAGGCCATAACGTTGTCTTTCAAAGAATAGTTAACTCTTGACATTAGCCTGCCATTGTCTCCCTTTGCTACTTTGGGACAATGTTGATTTTGGACGCTATAACAAGCAGTGCAGCCTTGACACACTTTCACACACTTTTTATGATTTTCAATAATTGTTGGTGTTTAGATTTTGATTCTTGTAAGTTGATTGAACACAAATGAACTCAACAATACAAAACACATTTGCCCATATCTTTGCGGTTGTTGTTGTTTTTTTTTGTCAGGTTTTATTTCTTTTGAAATGATGGCCAGCATAGAATTTTTGTAGCAAAGTATTTTACAAATTTTGAAATATTTTTTTGTTAAAAGACCATCATCAATAATATTATTTGTTTCCTTGCAATTATGCATGTTTATGTGACTCTTGTTTTGTTTTTTTTTTAATGTTCTAAAATCACATTTTGAACTGACTTGAAAGCATTGAATAAAATCTGAAATCTAAAAGAACTAAAGTAGAGATATCCTTTTTTTTAATAGTCCCCGTAGGATGGCGGGGCTATTTCTGACTGGCAATGCTGTTGTGTTTGTGTTGTCTGTCTGTCAGTTTTTTTTTACTGAAAGTGCTGTTGTGTTTGTTTTTGTCTGTCTGTCAGTTTTTAACTGAAAGTGCTGTTGTGTCTGTGTTGTCTGTCTGTCAGTTTTTAACTGAAAGTGCTGTTGTGTCTGTGTTGTCTCTCTGTCAGTTTTTAACTGAAAGTGCTGTTGTTTTTGTCTGCCTGTTAAATTCTAACTTGAAGACGCTGTTGTGTTTGTGTTATCTGTCTGTTCATTTCTAACTGGCAACGCTGTTGTGTTTGTGTTGTCTGTCTGTCAATTTTTTTTACTGAAAGTGCTGTTGTGTTTGTGTTGTCTCTCGACATGTCCATTGCTAACTGAAAGTGCTTCTGATAATTTGATAGCACTAGCAGTCACTGGCTACATCTTTCTTAAAATAGTTGAAACATTTTGACTTTTGAAAGGGTTGCACTTTTCTTTTTAAAACTAATAATTATAATACATAATTATGCACACAGGAATAAACTATTTTTTAACCAGAATAAAATCTGCCTGGCGATGTGGTATCAGATCCGGACTGTTGTCGCTATAGTCTAGAGTTCGAACTCTGCTCTCTGAATCATTTTTCTGGCAGTGGTTTTGGCTAGGACCTACTACTCGTCAAAGGTTTGAAACTTACAATAAAGGAAGTTTATTTACAGGGACTCACTTTCGTAAAAAGAGTGGAGGGGGGGGGGGGAGGGTCACAGTCTTGCTTGACAGTAACTGTTATTCGTTCACCTCGGGTCAAGAAGTTGAAAGGCATGAGAAACCTCGGACATAGAAAGAGGAAGTAAGAAAGACTAAATTCACTATTAGTCAGTAGTCGCTTGAAGTCAGTAGAGACAGAACACATATTTTAGTAGTTGCTTTCTGTACTTAGAGCTGGGTACATATTATTGAAGTTTACTGTTACCCGCAGTGATGTGGACGAGACATAATAGTAAAGTAATATATATACCTATTCTAGAGGACTTAGTATATTTGATACCGCTGTGATGCGAATATAATTATATTTCAATTCGGTGGAGTGTCTGTGTGTATCTACCAAGAGGTTGCAGTATATTGTTATTATTGAATAGATGTTATCTTGTCTGCTAAAGTTGGATTCAAGTCAATCTATACTATGTTTTCTTTGTTACGTGTTGCTCCAGGACGCACGGACGTAGCATTCTTCAACATTAAACACATTTTGATAACCAACACGTCGTTGACAGGGGGGGGGGGCAACGTGCAAGGTAGAGACTAAGATGTTCACTCGGTTTTTGTATTTATTTGTTTAAAATTAAATGACGCATCTCTCTATAGTAATTTCTTAACTGAGGGTATTGCAACAATCGCTGTTAGTTTCTTAACTGCAGGGTATTACAACACTCGCTGTTAGTTTCTTAACTGCAGGGTATTACAACGCTAATTGTTAGTTTCTTAACTGCTGGGTGTTACAACACTCGCTGTTAGTTTCTTAACTGCTGGGTGTTACAACACTCGCTGTTAGTTTCTTAACTGCAGGGTATTATAACACTCACTGTTAGTTTCTTAACTGCAGGGTATTACAACACTTAACTGTAGGGTATTACAACACTCACTGTTAGTTTCTTAACTGCTGTGTATTACAACACTCACTGTTAGTTTTTTTAACTGCAGGTTATTACACCTTCTTAACACAATCGTCATTCCAACAGCAACATATGCATGTGAGATGGAAGTCATCTGCCGAAATTGAGAAAAGACTAAATGTGGCTCAACAAAAATGTCTAAGACGGATTTCAGGAGTCACTTATAAAGATCGGGTCTCAAACAAGGAAATCCTATGCCGAACTGAGAGTCGAACACTTAGTGAGGTTGTGACAGAGCGTCGCATGAGGTTTGCGGGACATGTTCTCGACAAAATGAACTACGCATACCTGGAGTTGCGATGACATGGAAGCCAATACGAGGAAAGCGCAAACAGGGACGTCCTCGTACAACTTGGCGCCACACTTTCATGGAGGACCTCAGAACAGTGGACACCAGGTGGGAGGAGGCTTCAGACATTGCCAGTGACAGATTTTTGTGGAGACAACTTGCCGCCCAATGCGCCGGAAGGTGCGGGAGGATCAAAGTAAGGGTATTACAACAGCCGCTGTTAGTTTCCTAACTTCAAACGCCCCCTAACCTCCACTTTAAAAAAAAAAAATTCAGAGCAGAAATCAAGACCATTAATAGTCTGACATATAAAATTTACTACGTCGTGTCAAAATAAAAGACACGTAGTTATAAAGGGTTTTTAAAAAGTTGAAACTTATGAATTACAAGTAATGAAGTGTTTCCTTATTATTAGGCAATAGAGACTTCTTAATTTGAACAAGTTTAGGAGATATTATTTCTTATATTTCCCTTTAATTGTAATTCAAGTTTTTAAATTCTTCTTCACCACACCACACCTTTTGAAAATATCCGACTTGAACCGACCCACCTCGCCATTGCATTGCACGAGTTTAGAACAGGGGCAAGGTCACGTGATGCCCTGCAGTATCTCAAATCGTCTGCTTAATTTTGTCACATGTTCCATTCTCCACGTCAGCAACATGTGTGAGATGGGTGGGACTGTGCATACCCACAGCTGTACTTCTTGACAGGAGAGTTACTTTCCAGAGATTCTTGAACTACACTGGGACATGTGAGTTGTCTCCTCCACTGCCTGGAAATTACATTTCTACATGATACACGGACCTAAAGTTACATCTACCGGAAATCATTGCAGAAGTGAAGGAGAATGTACGCTAAATTGAAACCACGTCAAATACAGGGGCGGCACATTTTGGAAGAGGCTACACCTTACTTTACTTAAAATGTAAAACTATACCTCTTAATAATGACGAGATTACTTCCCCTTTTCGATATCAAAAAAAAAATAAATTCATTGACTAATTGGTTATTTTTTACAATTGATTCATGTTTAATTAGGTACAATAAATAATTGCTTTAAGTTTCAACGTGACCCATGAATGTGTGGGAAAAATAACGTGTACAATTTTCTAAGGGGACAAAACCTCAATATTTAGACATATTTAATCATACTTGAGGATTAATTTTCCTTTTATGCTTTAAAAAAAAAAAATTTCCAGAAATTAATTTACTTATTGGTAAATTCTTTTATTGATTCGTGTATTATCTTCGCCCATGAATAATTGTGCAAAGTTTACACTTGATCCGAGACTGGGTGTTTTTTTGGAAGAAATAACCTGTTCAAACTTTTCACCAGTCACAGTGAGTTGATATAAACTTTGTAATAATAACACGCAATGTGGGAATAAAATATTTTCAATTTTCACAGGGTCTAATACTTCACTTTCATGATGTGTACTATTGTGTACACATTAAGGCCTTTTAGGTTACTTTTTGAAATCTTATCGTCACATAGTACATACTTTTATTGACATATTTTCAGATACTATGTCTGTTATAATGTGGTCTTATAATCTAATATATATATAAAGCAGAAAGTAAGGCAGTATGCATGTATGTATGTATGTCCCGAATAAAACTCATAACCGTTTGACCAATCTTGATAAAACATGGCATAAATGTTCCTTAGATATTGGCTGAGAGTTGTGCTATGTTTAATGTCCCTCCCACAACTGAAAAGCCCTAAAAAAAATAGACAAAAAGTACTAATTGTATCTCTATTAAACTATTAAATTACAAAACCTTCTTTTTAAGAAATCGGGTAAACCCGTTTTCACAGTAATTTAAATTAGACATGAATATTTCGGCTGAACGGCTAAGCCCATTTTCATAATCTATTTTTATTTCGTGGTAAAATTTAAACAAAATGTGAAGGGCATATTCTCTGTGTTTGATATAGATCCATACTAGATCTAGATTCAATACATACATCTAGATTCAATACAGTAGATCAGTAAAAACCGTCACTAAGGCCCGCAGGCCGCGGGTCATATCCGGCCTAGTAGTCTTATAATTGTTCATGCTAACATTACTTCGCCAGTAATCCGAATTCCCACTAAGGTTTTCTTATTTAGCTGCACGATGTATCCAGTATCATCTGGGGCAGTGGCGTCACTAGGGGGGGTGCGGTCCGCACTGGGTGACACCCACTCTATTGACGCCACTGATCTGGGGTTCGACTTTTGCTTCTAAGTTTTCACTTTAAAGTCATTCTCTAATTTGGATGTCAATGTCACGTTCGCTTTAGTCACTGATAGTGTAAAACAAAAACTATTTGTAAAATGTTTGACATGTTTCATGTGTTCCCTGAGAGGTTGAAGATAATCTACTTCCTAGCCAAAACCTCCCGCAGGACGACGGGGGGATGGCAGCGGGCAGGGTATGACAATCGAGACGACCGAAAGACAGTCCAGCGCGCACACCACACACGGGCCAGACAGCCATCAATTATTGCTGAAATATCTTGTTTATAACAGCGATCATAATGTATGTGATATTAAATACCTTCCCTCCAGAACCGGCCTTATGCATAGGCAAACTAGGCAGCCGCCTAGGGCCATCGATTTGGTTGGGGCCTCCCAAAAGACTGGGAAAAAAAATTGATTAGACAAGAAATATCGAAACTTGTGCCCAATAGGTTTTAAATAAAATCGCATAATCTATTTTTTGGCAGTTTATATTTTTTGTTTTTCTATTTTATTTGGGGCCACCAAATTCACTTCACCTAGGGCCTTAAATTATCTAAGGACGGCCCTGCTCCCTCCCTTTTTTTTCCCCCCACAAAATAATTGTACGAAAACGCCTACGTGCTAGATCTATGAGTTTTTCTTTCGAAGGAAACAGAAAGGTGCACGCCTTGAGATTCAAAATGTTGTACTTCCGGTTCGAACAATGGAACAATATCTCTTTCTCCAGCTTCCTGTCACCGCGCCCAGTCTGTACCGCGGACCTCCAGCGAGATGCCC